TCTTTTCACCATTTCTTTGATATTTCTGTATTTGTAGCAAGACCTTTCCTGCACTTTACTAAACACTTATCTTACTGGTGGTCCACCTTTTCTCTGCCCCTCCATTCTCTTTTTCTCTTCATGGAATCACAGAGCAGTTTAGGTTGGAATGCAGTATAGTCCACACCCTTGCCATAGGGAGGTAATATTAATATTTCACTGAATCAAGTTGCTCAAAGTTCTGTCTGACCCCTAAACACTTTAATTGGATGTACATCACTAACATTGGATATTAACCTTATTTTATATTTTCACTGGATATTTACCATATTATCATGATGCAATAAGAAAACTACAAAATGCATGTCTAGCTGTGACAATGTAGGTAGAGGTTTTTTTTTGTTTCTTTGGGTTTTATCCTTTGTTTTTGGGTTTTAATTTCAGTTACCTTTAAGAAACAAATACTAGCAGAAATTACCATGCTGCAGTGTGAGGCTCTTAAAAATACCTGCCATTTTGTTCCGGATATACATAAGGGAGACAAAGTAACTTATATTTACTTCTGAACTACTGCTCTTAATCTAGAAGGCTTGATTGCTTTACAATAATGAAATAACTATTGATAAGATCAAGCTTAGAAGAGTACATTTTCCATAGTAACCTCTTTAGGCTTACACTAGATGCTCTAGAGAAGCTACAGTTTGCAAAGTTATTGCAACACATACGTTTAGAAACACAGCACTTGGGGCACATGGAACAAGGGGGAACATATTGAGGGAATTTTCAATGTACATTCAGAATCTTTTGTCATCACGGACATAACACATGAAATTACAGCTGCAAGTTGCAGAACATGAAGGGCATGAACCTCATCCACACCTGTAACTCTCAACATTTTAGGCCACATATAAAATTCAGGACCACACAGTGCTTCCTCAAATGATGTATGCATCCCCCTTCTTGCGCATACAATATTTTACAAAGGAAGAAGAAAAAAGGAACTATGTTTTATGAGAGGCAAACCCATTGTCCACATTATATAAACAAACTGAACCTTCTTTGCCTCTCTCACAGTTTGGCCTTTCTAAACTTTAAAATGCTACCAATACATAAAGATTTGTCAAGATTTCTCTTCCACAATAATTGAGCTACTTTTCCCTATCAATTTAAAGATACCCTCAATTTCCCTCCAAATGTATAAAACTAGAGTACCTCAACTTCTAGCTGAACTCCCCCCCTTCTACTTCTGAATGAAAAAAACAAAAAAAAGTAGTTTACGAATTGTGAAATGAACAATTTTGGTCAACATCTGAAGAGACAGTATTATTCCTATACCTGGCTGTTCAATTTATGGACATTCTGTTCACTTTGACACATTGTCTAATGGTGAGATTTACCCTTTAATTTTTCAATTATTATGCAATCCATGATAAGCAACAATGAAAGGGCTGTTTCGCTTCTTACAGGTAAATCTGGTCATGAGGCAACCTGGCACATCTTCAGAGGTTTCTGAATGAGTGCCACTTGCCCTGCATTTGCCTGGGGCTGGTTAAACCTTTCCACCCTTGCTAGGGTGTCATCAAAGGCCTTCAGAGACCAGAACAGCAGAAAATAGGCGTATCCCAAAGTGACTCTAAGCATTTCAACACTTGGTAGTTATGACAGCTGGAAAAAGAATCTCCTTACTTGCAGCTTTTATACAGTCCCATGCACATGAATATGCAGCAATGTACAACTTTTCCAAAATTGATGAAGGCAGTGAATCACACCACCTTCTCTCATGGCCATCATCCATATAGGTAATGACTGCCTCCTATTAACATCTTCAAAGGAGGTAAAGAATAGGGACACAACTCAGCATCTACATCTGCTGTTTACCTGTTCTGATAGACTGCCAAACTAGTTTTATGTATTCACTTCCACAAATATTAATATTCACAGCAAAATCTCATCATCACCCTCAGCATGAGTTCCAGACTATTTCACCCCAGGTGTTCAGTCCCCACTGGACAGCCGTGCTGATTTACAGGTGAGTGTGTGGATTGCCTTCCCAAGACACAAGATTTGTATCTTAAGTTTTCTCACTAGTATCTTAAATAAAGACTAGCAAGTCTTTACCACAAGTGGTTTTGTTCACTGAAAAATTAAAATTTCTATTACCCCAGAAACACCTTTCAGTATTGGGTTCTATGATTTCATTTTTCAGAACAGGGAGTGCAGGGAGCTATGGCTGTGATCAATCTCTGAAGGTAACTTCTCCATTCTTTTCTTCATCACATCACAAACTGGGAGACAGAGTTTAAAACTTTCTGATCCTTTCTTATCTCATTTCATCAACAAGAATTTCCAAGGAGTCACAGCTATACTCACATTTCTCCTGCAAATAAACCATTGAATTACTTTGTTTTTGCAGAATTAGTTATAAACGTTAAAGACTGTACCAACGTGAAACTGACAGAAGAAGCTACGCTATGAAAGTAGCTTCAGGTATACATTGAGTATTTTAACACAGCTGAGCACTGTCTCAGGGCTCAAGAGAACACCATAGCTGGATAACCAAACTGTGAGCTAGTATATCCAGAGTCAAGTGCTGAACTTCCCCATGATACATCCAGCATTCAGATACAAGGATGAGACCACGTCAGCCAATTGGAAAGCTGTTTTAAGTACTACAGGTGTAACTGGTAATACCAACCTCTTTTTCAGCAGTAGACTAAATTCAGTTCATGTGTGTGAAATTCACAAGTTGAACAAACCAACTGAAACTTCATACACTCTACAGAATTACCTAATTGCTACAGGAGGTGAAACAATAATAAAAAAAAGGCAGACAAAACAAAGGGACCAAGGTGAGGTTATTCTTAAACATAAGAATATCTTATAAAAGATATATTTAGAGGTCTCCCCAACAACGTCTGCTGACGAATGAGCACACTTACACAAGACATTACAATCACAGAATAGTTTGGGTAAGGGACCTTTAAACACCCTTTAATTCCACCTTCCCTGCCATGGGCAGGGATGCTTTCCACTCGATCAATCTGCTGAAAGTTCCATTCAACCCCAACTTGAACACTTCCTGGAATGGGGAAGTTGACCACAATTTCTCCGGACAACTGGTTCTTCCTGTGGCAACTTCTCTGGCAATTTGTTCCTGTGCTTTATCACCCTCACAGAAAAGAATTTATTATTTATGTCTTATATCTAATCTCAATCTACTGTCTTTCACTTTAAAGCCATTACCCTGTGTCCTATCAATTATGAACAATCTTATTTGTTTAGAGAACATACACTTCATTGCTTAAGAATAGTGGTGAGAATTCAAAGTGTAATCACATTTCTTTGCAGATTTTATATTCAGACATTCATTACGAGGAAGAAGAAACAATAATTACAACTTAGTTTATAAAACAGAGCCTGTAAACTGACATAAAGTATTATGTTTCACCATCTAGTTCTCTTCCATTTTCTGTCACATTTAAATCTGAAGACTGTCTTCCAAATTGCTCACAAACCACATTATATTTTTGGTAAATGTTATAGCTAATCACCTACCAGCTACAAACCATGGTTAACAGTGCACCTGTTGCAGCTTTTGGCTTATGGAACAGCCATATCTCAACTTTCCATTGTAATAAAAATAAACACCAAAAGGTAATCCAACAACCTAGTATGCATGTTTTTGAATAGACGAAGCTGAAAACCTGTCTCCTGCAGTTGAATGAGGTTTATGATAATAAGCTTTTTCCCTATTTAATACATGGATAACATATGCTTCTTTGAAATCATACTGTAGTTGTAATGTAAAATGAGTGCAAGACTAAATGTGTATTTAAAGCACTGAAGAAGGGTAATCTGCTCATAAATACTACATTGATGAAGTTCTAAACTTACTGTGACAATAACCAGGATCCAGGATTTAAAGCCCACATGCCCTTACACTAAGTCAAATCCCTGATACTATAATTATTAAACAGGATGCTCAAGTTGCAATGACTGAGCTGCAACAACACATTTCAGGTTTTTATACCTTTTTGATATGAAATATACAGTGTAGGATTTTCTGGTGGGCAGTTATTCTTATGATAGAATACTATTTTAAAAGTAGTATTTATTGTCTGGGTATTTGTAACCATGAGAAGACTATTGAGCTAAATGGAAAAAATTATAGTGAAAATTGCTCTCAAATTAGAGAAGCTGCACATATTTGGTGCAGGATTCCGTAGGATTCTCACTTATATCAGTGAATACACTCACAGTCTTTCATTTTGCTATTTTATGTCCCACAAAACCAGAGGTTTAGAACACAGAAATCACTGAAATAACATCTTTCCATTTGTATTTTTTTTCTTGTCCATTTTTATTCTGCTTGAATTAACATCACTGCTCGAAATCCCTCTTTTTGGGTTCCCCCAATAAGGTATTTACACAGATCTGTTACAAACTCTCCCACACATTGTTTTGTGAAGCTAGCTTTCTATATAAAGCAAAAAGATGTTTTCTCTCTTTGGAAATGCTGTAGCTGCTAGTCAGAATGCTGAAACAAAGGTGATATCAACACCACACAGAAATAAGAGTCTCACCAAGTTCTCTCTCAGCTTTTACTCTGCCCCTCCCTACAGAAAAAGTAGGTGATGGAAATTATCTAAAGAAACAACCTGCATTTTCTCACAATAGTGGGTTAATCACTGGGGTATCAATTATTATAGGCTTTTCCCAATTTTTTAAATTTTGCAGCTGAGAAGATTCCAAACTATGACAATAAGGAAGATACTCTACTTGTTCAAGACTAGACCACAGCTTATTAAATTTAATTCCATTTCAATTTTTCCAGTAGGTAAGTAATATGTACTGATCCTGCGTAATACTGACAATGTCTTCAACATCAGGCACCACCAGTCAGCTTGGATATGAATCAACTAATTCTAAATCACAGCATTGCAGTTTCAACTACCAGTGCATGTGAAATAAAACCATTTGACAAGAATGCTGTAAAAGAAAAACAGCAACTAATGTCTTACCTTGTTCTAAGAGCCACCCAAGCAGCATCAATGTCAGCATAGAGATTCTTCTCCGTAGGCTTCCCAGAACTTGCGCCATATCCAGAATAATCATAGGAGAATATGTTGCAATTAATCCGTGAACCCAGTCCTATATAAAAGCTGCTCATCTGACCCAGGTCAACAGCATTTCCATGTGAGAAGAGCAAAGTGTACTTGGCATTAGGTGAGCAACGCACAAACATACAGGCAATCCTGTTGCCTTTACATGTTCTAGTCATGAAGCACTCAATGGCATCTTTTTCCCTGGAAGAATATTGCCAGTCCGCTCGCTCTGAGAGATGCAAAGTCCAGCGACTGCCACTCTCATCACACATCAGTGTATATGTGGGATCAGGAGGTAAGAATGCCAGCTTAGAGGCAATTTTCCCTGGGCATGGTGGACAACAGAACAGGCAGCACAGTTCACTAAAGGAAAGATTATTCATCTTCTAGTCTGAAATGGGAAGAGAGAATAGTATCAGTTTCCAGGTACAATCTGACATTAAAAAAATCCAACTTACAAAAAAAAAAGTGAACACAATATCTCTAGGAAATAATGCATAACTTCTGAACATTTAACACAACAAAGACTTAAATCCACATATGTATATTTCTGTATAATATTCAATTTTATATTATTAGTTATTTCACAATGGGTATATTAGTAAAGGGGAGTGATAACTCTAAAGCACTGCCAGATATCAAAAGTAAAACATCATTACCCAGAAAAGGAACAAGCATTTGTTTTCAACTTTCTTTGGCGGAAATGAAGTTCCTCATCTTAAGACATTAGGAAAAACATTCTTCCCATTGACAAATACATACGTGATAAAAGAACAATTAAAGTATGTTGCAGAGTTGCAGCATACTAAGTTATGTCATATAACATAAGGTTATGCAGATTTCTGCAGCTAAAAGTCACTACAGCATCTCCTAAATACAAAGAAAGTATATTGCAATCACGGGCTATGGGCTCCTGCAAGCACTATCAGAAATATGAAGGGTGCATGAAGGTCAAAACGTAGAAGACAAAACAAGATGATGCTTCTGGATTAGCAAACACTCTAGAGCTTTGGTACACAAAAATGTAGCCATAAACTTATCTTCACTCCTCATACTTGCCGACATAAATATTTTGAAAACCTTCAAAGAAGTTCTTAGCTGTATTGCCCGTAGGAATTGGGATTGTATAAATGACACAACTGGTTTTTTTTTTTTTCCATGCTTCAAGAAACATCTCCCTAACTAAATCCTCTATCACAAATATTTGTTAAACCAGCATAACCTATAGCACCAATTCAAAGCATTAGTTTTAATAGTGGTGAGGGGGAGGAAAAAAAAGATAAACACACCTATACCTAAAGCAAGATAGGTAAAGATACAGTTGCCCTTAAAATAGACCTTGTGTTTCTCTTAATTTATACCAGTGAGAAGGGAGTGGGGGGAAATCTTTTGTTGCGGCAATACTTTTTCTCAGAGATAAGAAGAGCAATGAAATTTGACAAGTACTGTGCTGGAAACTAGCGCACCAAAGATAACCATTTACTCCACTTTCCTTGAGTTAAGGCATCTGACATTTCATCTTAACTTAAACAACTTTTTCATACCAAATCTACCTACATGTCCCAAGTTCATCTCCTGACAGTTCCCTGTGAACATGAACACTTACAGTTTCACATACTGACTTTGACTCAAGCTACAAAACAAGCAGATTTCAGTTGTCTACAGTACCATGCTGCTCCAGAAGTATTTGGGTCATCCAACACTAAAATCTTACTGCTAACTGTGACACCTAACAATATTTAGCTATTTCAAATTTTGTCCTTAAATTTGTACAGAAGCATAGTTTTCATGTATAATTTTTTTTTTTAAAGAAACTTCAAGGACAGTGCTGCAAAAACACTTTAACATGTGTCACAGAACAACTATCTGTATTTTTGGATGCGTGAATGGTCTCTTCCTGGTGGTACAGTATGAAAGCATACTGCAAACCATGTTACATGGAGCATACTTTTAGAGCAGCAAAACCAGGCACAGTGAGACAGACTGACAAACACACAAGCATTCATGGAATATCACAAAAAAAAGAGGCTGCTGCAGCTAAGGTTTTTCACCCAGGTCTCTAGTTTTCTTCAAAACAGAGGGAAACCACAGAGGTTTAGACATGGGGGATCAACACTTCCAATTTAGAGGACATGGCGGGAAGTACTGATCAGCTCCCTTAAGAAGGTAGATAGGATCTTAAAGAAGATCCTGGATAAAGGACCATATTCCTGATAGCTGAAGTAACAATAATATTGTGTTTCAGCACAATTAGTCACTCAAATATGGAATAACTCACCTCTGTCAGATGAGATAATGTGAACATTAAGTTTCAGTTATACCCAAGTCAGGATAAGTGGAAGGAGTCTATGGAGGAAGTCAAACTATTAGCAAAAGGTTTAGATTGCCTTATGCAAAGTAAAAATCCTACTGTTTTGTGGGGTGGTGGTGGTGTCTATTTGTTTCTTCCTCACTTCTTTTGTAATTATGAGCACCAAAGAAGCAACTTCTTTCACTTCTACTTCAGGAGTTCATCTTCACAGTCCAGTCTCAACTTGCTTTTTTTCCAAGTACTTATAACACAATACTCAAAATCACTTCTATTTCTATCAGAAACTATTAAATGGATCTATTCTGAGTGAGTTTTCCCACCTGTACAGAAACGCTGAAGGTGAAGTTAGATATTATATTTTATTCTAAGGGGATGACTATTATTTTTTGGGAAAAATTTAAAAGAATTTGTACCTCCAAAAGTGAGATGCAAATAGTTTGTTTTCCCCAGGAACAGCAGACTGCACTCTTACCAGCATGTAATGAGAATTACAGAATTTCTTATTTCTTCCAAATCCCCCTGTCAGAAAGAATTAGAACAGGAGTTTACATTATTTGAAAGTATAAACAGCCCAGAAACACTACAAATATGATCTCACTCATAAAATATTTGCTATTTACCCAAGTAATTTCAGAAGACTGGAAACTGGCCTGCAGGATTCACACACAGGGCAGTACAGCAGTAAACCACAGTGAATTAGCTGATGTGATGGTAATGTCCCCCAAGATAGTGTAAATGTGTGAAAAATGGGTTGTCACCAGATATGGCAAATGATGCTGAAGACAGCAGATGATTCCTCCCCTGTGAGCCTATTATTCCTCTGCTGTGCTAGACTAATGCAGGCTTTATGTATTGATCTTTTAATCCAATGGAAAATATGCCTACTGAAACAAGAGATTCTGATTCATTCTCCAACTAAATCATGGCTAATAACAACTCTCTTCTTTAAAACAAACACATGCTACTTTCTTCACTCAGAGGACCCAAGACAACCAGCAGGTCATTAACTGAACCAATTTGATACAAAACACCTACTGAACTTCCACAGGAGAATAGCTCCAACTAAATACAATGTTACTATTATACTGGAACTGGTTTGTCTTTCACTGTGATGGATTGTATTCACATGAGAGTGTGAATAAGCTGGATGTGTGCTTTATCTGGATTCTTAGTGAAGCTGAGGCAAAAACAACTCTGAGTAGATTAATTTAAGCATATGGTTCCACAAGTACAGATGAGTAACTTTAATGGGACTCATTTGACTAAGATATACTGTGAATACCTAAGGTATAGTCTAACACCTTCTGAGCATGTATGATGTAAATCTCAGTGCTCATTACAGCATAATCAGATGCTGAGAGCAACACACCCCAACAACACAACTATCTCACCTTCTACTTGACATTTCAGTAGTAATAAAAATGCTAGTGCTGTTCTGCAAACACAGTTCCTACAGCTGGTAAAATATACTAACAACAAAAAGAATACGATAAAGAAATATACACCCCCTTTAAAATTATACTGCATTTTTAGTAAATAAGTATGAAAATTCTATAGAAGAAACTGCAAAAAACTTTTCTATTGCAGCAATAGAGGCTAAGAAATAAAACAGACCCAAACTATATTACTTATCCCTTCTAGGATAGCTTTTAAAAAGAAAGCAAGAGCATTTTATCAGTTTTCTCTCTTTAACTCTCTTATGAATAAAGATTTAACATATAAAATTGCAAATGTAAAATTGCCCACAGGCAGTGATTTCAATTCATTCTGTGGCAATTAGCCTTTTCATAAAGGCTGACAGAAGTGGGAAAATGTCTATTTAATCTTAAAGAACACCTCAAGTATTTATCTTGTGCTTCCTAGGATAACACAAATGTAATGTTTTAACAAGAGAGTTTATTCCTGTCCTCCTATCTCTCTGTACATAATAACAAGACAGTGGAACCTATTATTCACATCTTTGAATACTTTGCTATGTATTAGTCTCAAAACCTGCCAAACCTTGCAAACACTTATCTAGAAATCTTATATTTACATTAAATAGAAATTATTCTAATTGTTTATTTAAATTAAATTGCCGACTTCATGGGAACTATTCACAAGAACAAAGTCAAACTCATAAGTATAGCTGCTGGTTTGGAACTTTAAGTGCTGTTCAAACCATAACGGGCAAGATATTCAAATTGTTGGGAGCTTTTTTTATTTGTCTGGTTTTTTTGTTTGGTGGTTTGTTTTGGTTTGGTTTTTTTTGGCTTTTTTTTTTGTATATGTGTGTATTTTGGTTGAGGGTTTGTTGTTTGATTAGGGGTTTTTTTCATCTTTATTGTTCATTATCAACTGCTGAAACAAGAAATTCTAAAGCATTTTTCCTCACACTTCCATCGAGCACAGTGCAATAAGAACTTGAGTTCAAGCTACTACTGAAGTAGTGACATTTATTTCAACACCTGTGTAATATTAGAAATGGAACAGAACGATATGAACATCCTTTAACTAGTCCAACAGTTAAAGCAACAAAATGTTCAGAGAAAAAGAAATCATTAGTGTCTGATTCAGTACCACATAAAAGGATTAAGAGAATATTGAGAAAGAATACACAGTAAATCCAGAAAACAACACAAAGTATATTCAATTATGAAAAAGCTATATTAAGAAATACTGTGAAGTAAGTGTTTAAGATAGTTTTCAAAGGACAAAGTAGGCTACATGAAAACAGAGAAGCCTGATTAAACCAAAACTTTACTTTGGTTAATTTGGTTCTAAACAAATAAACACTCCTTCTAGTCTTACAAATTCTATCTATTTTAACACATATCATTTATTTATCCTCTGCTGGTTACTTTGTGTATATCAAAACCTAAGGCCACAGCTGAAAAAAGAAAGGAAATCCAGGAAACATTAACTAAAAAATCCAGACATTCTTTATCAACCGAAGAACAAACGAAACCTCTAAAGGCTCCAGATAGACAACTGCGGGATTAAGCCGATTACATAATGCCTTGCATGCTCTAAGCAAGCCTCTGCCCCCGGAGCTGCCCTGCTGAAGGCACCCACCGGCGGCTGGCGCTGAAGACTCGCGGTGTCTCGGCCCGGTGTCCCGGGGTCCCGGCTCAGGCCGGCCGGCCACCAGCACCGACCTCCGCCCTCAACGCCGCTCTGCGCCCAGGTACTTCTACTCTGATTTCCGCAGCCATGAACTTTCCTAGTTAATTGCTGACCAAATACTTGAAATTTTTATGCTAATAATACCTGAGAGCAATGCTGAGGCCAGCGTCACTTCCACCCTCTACAGCAGAAGCTGAAAGAATAAATTTAACCAGGCTGGCGGGAACTAAATTAACTCCTCAGGTGTCCGAATCTGAACAGGGCTCCGCCGAAGTCCTCAGCCGTGACTCAAAGGCACTGTTCGGAGCCCGAAAAGCCGGACTTCAACACGCGCGTCACAAGTCAGGGCGCCCGTTTCCAACAACGGAGTCCAGGGCAAGACCACGGAAACGGGAGCACCGGACAGATCCCCACAGCACCCGGGCACCCCGAGGCAGGCGACACCCCCAGAGACCCCCGAGCCCAGCGACACAGGGACGCGGGCAAGAGGCAGGCGGGGTCGGCAGCTCCCCGCCCGGTTCGTGCCGCAAACCGAAGCCGCACCGCCCGCCTCTCCGAGGAAACGCCGGTGGCGGCCGCGGGCCCTTCCGCTCGCCCCAGGGGCCGCCACACGCCTGCGCCAGGCGGCGCGGACGGGCCGCGGGTCCAAGCCGGGCAAGAGACACGGACGGAGCCGCGAGGGGAAAACAACTCGCCCTCACGCCGCGGCAGCAGGTCACCCGCACACCGTCCATCCCCCCAACGCCGGGGGAGGACAGTCCCTACCTGCACCTGGCGCTCCGCTCGGCGGTCCCGCTCTCTCCCGACTGCCCGGTCGGCGGGCCGTGGGGACACCGACTGTGCTGAGTAACGGCGCGGCGGGAGGCGGCCGTCAGCGCCCCGGCCCCGGCCGGAGAACGCGCGGCCCTGGCAGCGCTGAACCCGCCCCGCGCAGCCTCCGGAGCGGCGCCGGCCTCGCCTCGCCCGCAGACTGCACCGGCGCGGGGGCGGTCGGGGCGGGGCCTGGCGGGCCTCAGCGCCAATGGGGGCGCAGCCGGGGCGGCACCGCCCAGCGCGGGCGGGCCGGGGAGCGGTTCCGGGGCACGCGGCGCCGGCCCGCGATGAGCTCGGAGCGGGGGAACGTGTCCCGCACGCGGCCCCAGCGCCACCAGAACGCATGCGCCTTCAAGAACGACAAGTACGACACCAGCGCCCGGTGCAAGGTAGGCGGGGGCGGGCCCGGGGCAAGGCAGGCGGGGACGGGGCCAGGCCGGGGCCAGGGCCAGGCCGGGACACACGGGCCCGTCCCGGCCTCAGAAGCCGCCCCTCTGCAGGCGATGCAGCTCTTGGGGCCGGAGCGCTGGGAAGGGCGTCTTGCCGAAAGCGTGGGCAGGTCCCCGCACGGCTTCTGAAGCCATGCCCTGTCCCTGTGAGGTCTGGTGCCAGGTCCTGATGGGCTTCGGGATCGCAGAGGAAGTCACGAGGCGCTGGATGCCGAGGGACCGTTTCAGGGATGGAGATACCTTTGGCCCGGCTCCGCCCGCACCAGGCGCAGTGCTGCTAAGAGAGAATCGTAACAAGACATTTCAGACAGTTGTCACTGTAGGCAAATGGGTAGTGTGAGAGTTGAATCATACTTATGACATGAAAGGACCTCGTTAAGCCAAAGAATTTTAAGAGGAAGACTGAAATAAAGCGCATACATTTGTGCAGTGAGTGCAGCAATTAAATGTTCAATGGCGTGTTATCCATATGACTTCTTGAAAGGCGTTATCCATATGACTTTTTTTTTTTTTTTTTGGTTTTCTCAAAGTGTGTGACTATGTGGTCATAACTCAGAAATCTTAATATTTTGAGAGCTACGTTTGGACAACTTTCCCCCATCCCACATAAATACCCAGCTTCAGTTGGCTTACGTTTGAGATAACTTTCATATGTGCTTTAATTTCTTTTTTTAAAAAGGGAGCTCTTTTGATTAGTTAAATAGAAAGGGGTGTTCAGCTTGTCTTGTCAGCACTTTTGCTACAAAAGTTATCATCTTCACTCTGTTGTTCCAGAAGACTGTTTTGTCTTTTTTGGTACTAAGCAGGGAAGGGCAAACGGTGTACAATAGATTCTTGAAATACACTCTGTGCTTTTAGTTTTGGTAACATAATATGTGGAAGGGGCTGAAAAACACGGAGGATGAACAATCTAGGAGAGTTTATCTGGTGCTATTGCTGTCATATCAATATCCCTTTAACTGAACCTGCCTGGGTTGTTAAAAAGAGCTAGGAGGAGGGAAACAAAGCAGTAAGTTAAAGCCCTGATGCTAAAGAGGGAGGTTTGGGTTTTTTGTGAGTTTGTTTTGGTTGGTTTTTGAGATGTTTTTTTTTAGGACCGGTTCTGCAAGTTGAACTTGCAGGCTGCTTTCCTGTGATTCTAAGCAGTGACAGTATTATTTATCGTATGAGTCAGTGCATGACCTCTGATAGGAGAGTATTTTCTGTCTGGTACAAACACACACACACAGAGAAATGTTGTAGAGAGCTGGTCTATCAAAAAAGTTTTCAAAGAGAAACTGAATTCTGGTATCTGTTTTGTAACTGATGTAATTACTTTAATACACACATGACTGTTTTTCTGTTTTTCTTTCCTTTGAAAATAATTGATATCCTATAGAACTGGCTACACCATGTCATGCACTCAAGAAAATATTTTTTTTTCTAATGTGGCCAAGGTTAGCTGTGGACATCTACTTGTCTTTTTTTTTTCTTTCCATTTAAAGCAAATTGTTAATTTTCTCTCTGTTCCTGCTGGTTCATGGAGAGGGCTGAGTGTGTGGAAGTAGCATCCTGAAGAATGTGCCTCGTATTCTGGGGTTAGGTAATGTTTGGTAAGGGGAAAGGATACGTTTCTTTTTCTTAGGGCATGCTGTCATGTACAAATTCAAGTCCTAAGGTACTGCCGTGTTTTAGGGATTATATTCCCCAGTTTAGTGTTGTAACTGAAGCACTCTAAACCATGCACCACTCACTCATCCCTCCCCCTACCTATCTCCCTGCATAGCCCTGGAGAAGAGAATTGGAGGCACAAAAGGCAAGGATCACAGGTTCAGATAAGGACAGTTTACTGGAAACAGCAAATGAAATAAGAAGACAGTCACAGCAATAGTGTAGAAGAGATGATTCACACACAGGCGTTCACTATGTGGGACTCCTGGCAGTACCAGACCACACCATGCTATGTGCCCCCACTCCTGCAAAATAATGTGAGGTGGTATGGAATAACCTTAGTGTCCTAGAAAAATTAACCCTGGCTTGGCCAGAACCAGGACAGGGATACACAGGGGTCAGTATAATGATGCTAGCCCCATTTTGCTGTTTTAAAGAAGTTAGACTAGCAAAGATTAAGGGGTGATTAATGTCATAGTTTGGATATGGACTATGCTGAATGATCACAGTTTTGTATCTCTGTCTTTTGCAGTCATGGATGATCAGATATGTCATGGATATTCAAGGTGTGATGAGGAAAAATGAAGAAATCATAGAAAGTCTGTCATAGGGACTGATAAAGGAGTGGAGCATACTTCTTTCTATTCAGTAGATCAAAAGAATGCTTAAAGCTTCTCAAAGAAAATGGATCTCCTGAAAATCACTGTTAAACATAATGGGGGGGGGGGTTTGTGTTTAGCCTGTCTTCTATTGTACAGGCTTCTTCTGTCTTCTGTCCAATGCAATGCTATCTTGAAAGGCTGCAAAATGCTTATCAGCTTAAAATTTGGATCCTGCTGCAATTGTACACTGCATTAGCAATGTTGAATATTTACTAGAATAGCTTCAGGTTGTACAGTGGGTGGAGTTGAGGTAGTTAATTATGGTGTTATTGCTATTTCTTTCAGTGAAGCAGTATCTGCAGAGGAAATTGATCTAATAGGATTTTGACTTTTCTCTGCTGGCAGTCATTATCCAGTTGTTTTGTTTTGGTTTTTTGAGATGTTTCGTGCTTTTTGTCCGACACTGACTATGTCATCCATTTTCTAATCTTAGAGGCCACAGACCTGATTACTTGAGAACATGCTAGAAGATCCACCTGTCTTTCCTCTAATGATCAGTCTTTACCTACAGCATTACTACAGAATTGCTCTTGAGGCTTGTTGAGGTGAAACATCCTTGCAACAAAGTACACTGCCTCTCTGCTGTATTTGGGAAACAGCTACAACAGTGCTGGAAAAGTGTGCATCTTAGGATGACCTGAAGAAGGAATAGCCAGGACAGGGTAAGACACCATCTTGTTAGTTACTGAATCTTGGAATTTGTTTATTGGTGTTTGCATTACATGGTATATTCCAGAATAGCTCTTTGCAGCACCAAGCTGAGGAATATACATTATGTTATATGAATATACATTTTATGTAAAGTATATTACAAAAACATCATGAAAACTGCAGTAGTTCTAGAAATGAAAACAAATATCATTTAATGAGAACATTTAGAATTCCATTGTAGTAAGATGGTAAACCACAAAGTGATTCCTATTTACACTCAAAGGACTGTTTTGTTTCTCCATTTCATTCTTTTAATTAAGATGATAATTCATATTTCCCTAAATTTCAGGGTTTATTACCTTTGAACCTCAGCTTTACCACAGTATTAATGTCAGTTACTTTTTCAGCCAGGTGCATGGATAAATCACTTGTTGTTTAGACTGTGGGAAAGCACTAGGTAGACAACAGCTGAGTGTAGAGCTTAAATGCTGAGTCAGTAATCATATTTTGAAACACAGAAGGGAATTAGAGATAAACCAGTGGCCGACTGGAATTGTTAGATAACCATATTGCAGTTTTTTAGATAACGTTCTTGCTGCAGCGTAGAGTAGCTTGGTAGGCTGAAGTCTACTGTTTAGCCACTCCTTTTACTCTGGATTCAGAAGTGCATTCCGTCTTGGGTTGTAGCCTTTCATGTGGGGAGAATAGGAGCAAATATAATATCTGTTCTGGACTCTAACCCAACTCTGGAGGTGGGGCAGAGAGTGAGAGACAGAATGTGTGGGTAGGTGCTGGAGGTGTGTCTGGTGTGTATGTATGTGTCTTTGTGTATTTTCCATTCTTTCTGGGGGAGATGATGAGAGTCCTTCCAGTGCTCTCTTAAATGCTATATGCCTATGTTCCTTAAGTTTTGAAATACTTGATGAGAAAACATTTGTAGAAAAAGGATTTTCAAGTAATGCTGATACAATATGGGATCAACTGAAGCTCTGTGGGGGACAATTTTAGCCTGTGTAATGTGTACTGGAACCATGAAATCTGGCATCTGGTGGCTCAGTTTCACATTTGTCAGTCTGCAGTGACCTACTTTAACTGCTCAGTAGTCATGCGCTGGAGGTCCTGTGGAGTTTTGGGTTTTTTTGGGTTTTTTTGGATAAGTTCATTTGTTCAGAAATCCTGCATTCACCCTTGTGCTGCATTCAGCCTTACTGATTGAAGCAGTGCCACCTGTGTTTCTGACAAGGAAGTTTATGGGTGGCATTAACATTTCACTCAGTTACAGCAGAGTGGACCACTGATATGTGCTCAGTAGAAGGAATCTGCTTTCAGTAGAGGAAATCAAAATACCCATAGGTTCGCACATAATTAGAAGCTTACAAACAGATGGTGAAGCTTCTTTGAAGCCCTGTCATTACATTCTACCTGTGAGCGCTTTAATGCTAGTTTTAGCTAGGGATTATTTTGTGTGCCAAGTTAGTAGGTGTAGGTGCATTCGTTTACTTTAATACATTCTGAACTGCTTTTGGCAGGTTGTTAGGTGATTTAATGTTAGGTTATGGGATCAGAGGATGTTGATTCGTTAATGTACAGCTGAATGTGCTTATAGTGTGCACATGGAGCATTTTGTGGCATCGTACCTTAAGGCTGCTCAGGTATGTCTCTATTGCATAACTGTAATTTCCCTGGAGAATGTACAGATGTACCACAAGTGCTGGATGAGTTGCACTTTTCCTTGGAGCAAAGTATGCTAAAGAAAAGAGAGAGCTATTGACTAAAACAAGGAAATGAGCATAAAGAAAACCCCAGAGAAACTGCTGCACCATAAACATAATCTAACATGTTGGAGTAGTTTTCACACCAATAAATGAATTTTACACCAAGAAATTAATTTCAAGTGCTACCTCCTATTTGTGTGTGAGGCCCTGGCTACCTGCATAAAAGCTGGGTAGAAAAGTTGGAAAAGAATAATGAAGTTGACTAGCTTTTTTCAGGGTTTTGTGTGGGCTGTTGGGTTTTTTAATACCCTCAAGGAAAAGCAAGCCATTAAATGGGCAAAAGGAAAAACATATGAGTTTGTGAAAGTTGAAACAATATACAAAATATATTAAAAAGTAAATATTAATAGGAAAAGTAAGCACCAGAGGAGTTTATTTGACTTCCCCATTCTGACCAGGAACTGAGAAACAAGAAAATTTGTCTTCAGGTTTGTTATGAGAACTTCTCTCACATGCTTTTTTAGCATTTTCAAAAATCTGAAAAAACAGACTATTCAAATTTTTAATTAGGGACATCTTTCTTTACTTCTTCAAGTCTGCATTGCTTTTGAAAGTGGTGTGTTATGGGTTGTTTTGGTCAGAGGAGATGCTGAATGAAGTGTAAAAAACCACAGTAAATTAACAAAATATTTAGTAATGGTAGCACATAAATACCATGCCTTTTTTTCTGAGCAAAATAAATCTGAAAGACAAACACAAGTTAAATTCTCTAACTGCTTTCTTTACATCAATCCATCATTCTCTATTGACTTTCTAAACCAATTGCCTGGTAGGGTTGTAAAGTCTTAGTGGCTCTTGTATTCAGATATGCTGAGCCAATGGTTAATTACAACGCCTCATACTTGAGGCATGAAAATTGAGTAAAAAATACAAATTGCTGAACAAGGGGAAGATGCTCTATGTGTGCCCCTCAGAAGGAGGAAGTCAGAACTTAAAGCTGTTGTCTTTCTTCCAGTTTGTGACCTTCTGAGCAGATGCAATTGGAATAGCTGCGTAAGATTTGTGCTATTACCGCGCTGAAGCTTCCAGGCATCTTTATGCCTGGATCAGGATACTTAAAGTGATTTTTGATGCACATAAATGTGGTGACAGAATCATATAATGGATGGGATTGAAAGGGACCTTAAAGATCATCTAGTTGCAAACCCCCTCTAGTCCTTCTGCTAGCAAGGGTGGTCTACTTAGTGGCCCTTCTTTGGACTTGCTCTGATAAGCCCATGTCTTTCTTATGTTATCTCATCATCCAGATCTGAATGCTTATGTGGTGTCTCACAAGAGCAGTGTGAAGGTGCAGAATCCTCTCTCTTGCACTGCTGGCCAGATTTATGGGCTGCAAGCTGCTAACCCATGTTGAGTTTCTCATCCACCAACACCCACAAAGTCCTTTTCTGTGGAGAGCCTGGTTTAAGCATGGCTTGAAGAAAGAGGCCATGAAGGTATTCAGCTGAGGGAAATATAGGGGCCTGCTGTAAAGCAGCCTTTCCCAGGCTTGATCCTGTAAATAATTAGGTTCTCAGCTACCTTCTATATAAGCAACAAGTTTCTCAGGCCGTTCTGTCCTTGGCTGCTACTAGGAACAGACAGCCAGTCTGGGAATAGATATGAAGGTTTTGAGAACCTTTCATATTATGTTGGGAATTTAGCTGCTAGAGACTGGAAAAGTACAAAACCGTGGCTAATTCCAAGTCCTGCACCTGTGTTGATAGCATGTCCTTGGCCCTAGCTGTGGTAGGATAACAAACAGTGGAAGAGACATGAGAAAAGAGAGTTTTCTCTTTTTCATTTTTTTTCCTCATTCCCTAAGGAATGAGGAAGAGTTTATGGTATAGTTTAACCAATAGATTGCTTAGCTTACAGAATATTCATAAGCTTATTACTCGCTGTGAAAGTGTCTGATGCTCTCTTCAATAAAACGGAATTTGCTTATCACTCATATTGAGTGTCTGAGTCTCCCCTCACCAACAAATGGCTTGACCCCAGCAAAGGCCTCATTTTCTCTCCGACACTTTTCCTCAGAGTACTCCTGTCCATTCTCCACCCACCTTGTATTTGTGCTTGGGATTGCCACAGTCCATGTGCAGGACCTTGCACTTCACTTGGCCTTGTTGAACATCATGAGATTTGTACAGGTTCACCTCTCTCTGCATGGCATCCCTTCTCTTCAGTGTGTTGATCACATCATACAGGTTGGTGTCATTGGCAAACTTGCTGAGGGTACACTCAGTTCCACTGTGCAAATGCCTTCTACATGTACGGGGAAAGCAGGTTTTCTGCCTCCTGTATCCCTCCTGAGAGGACCCACATTTTCCCAAGTCTATCTTTGATCATTGACATACCTAAAGAACCTTTTTTTTCTTACCCTTGACATCCTTTACTAGATTTATTTCTGCCTGTACTTTAGCTTTCCTAACCATCTCCTTGGTTCCTTGGCTCGATTTCTGTGTATTCCTCCCAGCCTACTTTCCCCTGCTTGCACCCTCTGTGAGCTAGCTGTTTAAGTTTCTCTAGGAGCTCTTTGTCCACCCATGCAGGCATCTCAGTTTTCTGTCTTGATTTCCTCTTTGTAGGGATGCATTGCAATTGAACCTGAAGGAGACAACTGTTCAGTATCATCTAGCTCTTTTGAGCCACTCTTCCCTCCACAGTTCTATCCCATGGCATTCTACTAAGGAGATCCTTGAAGATGCCAAAGTCTGTTCTCTTGTGGCTTTCTTCCCAAGCTCCTCACTGCCCCAAGGTCCTTAAAATCCACTGCTTCATGGTCACTGCAGCCCAGGCTGCCCTCGAGCTTCACATTCACCAGCTCCTCCTCGTTGGTGAGAACAGGGTCCTGCACAGCGCCTCTGCTTGTTGACTCCTCTCTCACTTGGAAAAGGCAGTTGTCATCAGTGTACGTGAGGAACCTCTTGGATTGCCTGTGCCCTGCTGTAGCGTCCCTTCATCTTTGGCATCTTCAGCTTTTGGGATGGTCTGTGTTTCAGTTTGATTGGAAAAAGAAGAAAAAAGAAACTCATCCCTGTGTGATTGTTGTGTATTCTGGAGCCAGGTGATGAGAGTGTTGGGGTGGGGAAGAGCTTTATAAAGTTCCATGAGCAATGACTGTGTATATTTCCTTGTTCCATAGCAAATATTAAGCAGAATTTTTAATAGGCTGCCTGTTTGATGAACTTTGGATTTGCTTCAGATGAGAGATTTCTGAAGTAGTTTCTGATCATTCTTCAGGGTGTGCAGTCCTGAACACAGGGTCTTGCATTCCAGGAGCTTTAGGCTTTGCTGAGCCTGCCCCTGGATCACTCCATGGCACAGCTCCCAACCCCAGCCCCAGCTGTGATGTCAGGATGTGTTAAGGGAATATACATAATTTTCATCCAGGAAGCTAACTGCTTCTTTGGAAGAGCAGCCATCTCCCTTCAGCTTAAGCTTCTGCAGTCTTTTGACTTTCATTGGATTCTGCCTTTAGCAAAACTAAAACCAGCTGGTAACAATAAATGTATCCCTACCTGGAAAAGCAAATTACAGTGTATCTTACTGGCCTCCTGCAGTCAATGCAAGTCCGGGGAGTGAGGGGGAGCGCTGGGAAGTTCATTCTAGTTTGCACCTTGTGGGCTATAGTGCCTGGAGCCTTGCTTCATGCAGGTCAAGTGCTGAAAACAAGGCTTGTCTTTGAACTGCATGAATTTTGAAAGACTGAACACAGGCACTGCTCACAGTAGTTTGAATTGCAAGATACTGAATTGTGAGATATTAAATCACCTTTAACAGTTATCTACTTAATGGGAACTTAATGATGATTTTCTTCTCTCAGAAATTCTGTACATTAAGTGTTTGTTGGTATTTTTTGGAAAATATATCCATAATGCAGCAGAACCACAACTTTCTGTATTCAAAATTCAAGCAGTGTGCAAAACCTTGTTTGGTTGGCTTCTTAATATGCCAAGTCTGTATTTGATCATTTAGAAAATAATTTTGTTTTAACTGAAGCAGCCAGAAACCACACATTCAGTTAACCACACCACAGGAAAACTCATTTTGAATGAGCAAGTTTCATAAAAAAGGAGACAATGGAACATAAGTCGCAGAGTATAGTTTCACTTAAAAGTAGCATCTCCTCTGCCATATAAATTTTTTTTAATAGAATAGGATACTGAGTTTTTAAAGCTTGCCTTGTTCTTTTGGTCTTATGTATTGAAGTAGAGCTTTGTGGAGTAGTAAGAAACTCTTGTGAGTCATAAAAGCAGGAAATTACTTCAGAAGATGCTGTATTCATAGAATAATTTTTTTTCAGTTTATTTGTGAAAGAATAACATCAATTGAAGTCCAGATTAATGTAGAATCGCTCCTCTTAGGTATGCTAAGAAGTAGATGTGGTTTAAACAGTTTTAATAATGCAATGTTGATGTGGTAGCCATTTTTAAACCATCTTAAAAAATACATTTTTTTATTATATGAGGTTTTTAACCCTGAAATTTCTAGTTTTAAATTTCTCAATTAACTTGAACACCCATATGATAGACAACATTAGTGCTGGCATTCTTAAATAGAGAAGAAATAAAATTGGATTGAGTTTACAATGACATAGCTTGTTATTTAAAGTAAAAGTGTGATTTGGTACCTTTTCCCATCTCAAAATAACTTCTCTTGTGGAAATACTACTAGCCAGTTGACATTTTATATTTCTGAGAAAGCTAAACACAAAATGTTGTAGGAGATATTAAGGTAAATTTTTCATTGTCTTGAAAATATACCATGGTTTAAGTTACCATTTAAAAAAATTATCTTAGATGCAGAGAGCAAAAATATTTTTCATAAAGGAAGGTTAGGATTAGAGAGAGATTGAATAATTTGACTGCAAGTAGTGTGTGGATTCCAGTTTGTTGTTATCTGAGGAAAAATCCTGAGACTACTTAAACTATGTAGTACAGTGATAGCTTGAGCAATAAGTTAAATGCTACATCTTGTAAGTTGTCTTCTTTGGACAAAAGCTGTGTATTTCAGGGCTTATTTGTTCTTTTATCCATTTTGTAAAATTTCTAGAGGTGAAAATAATTAAATACCTACAGTAATCAATTCTCAGCACTACAATAACAGAAATAAGTATGAGTATTAAGATAATTAAAATAATAATCATCATCATCATCTATTCTTTAATTTCAAGGTATCCTTTCCATTGAAGAAAATCTGTAGACAAATGTATAGGAAAACCTTAATGTTAGTACCAAGCAAACATGTTTATAGTACTGTATCAATTATAAGATGGGTAAAATACTTGCTAAGCAAGATTTTACTCTTTACAGCAGGAAGTCATCAATGTATTTTTTTTTACTTATTCAGAAAATAAATGCTAAGCTTCATGATGGAGTGTGTCAGCATTGCAAAGGTATCTTGGAGTGGCGAGTAAAATTCAGAAAGTACAAGCTACTGACAAAACCTAAAAAATGGTGAGTAAATATATTTTTTGTTAATTGTTGGTCATGTAGTTTGTGAGCTTTTGGAAAATATTCTGCCTTTGGAAACTCAGAAGAAACTGGTATTATGCAATGTTAATTTTCTAATTCTTAAGTCTTTTGTTGCAATCTTCTGAAAAGGAGACACAGAGGAAGAGCAGCTGCTTCCCTCTTTGCTGTTAAAACTGGTTGAACTGTGGACCTGTAGGTTTCCAAGACTGTCACTGTCTTCCTGAACAAAAAGTCTTACTGACCATGTTGTAACACAATTTTCTAAGGTCTTGTTTCACATCTGTATTAGAGGGATCTGCACATCTCTTGACTTCTCTACTTTGCTAATGTTTGCAATTCATGCATTTCATTACCTCTTAGCATGTTTTCTCCTTTTCTGTAAGAAACTATAATCCTAAGTAGCAAATGTTGGCATTGTTTGCATAGAGTTCTGTATTGCTTGTTTTTGTGTAACTCTATGGCAAAGATGATAAATACTTTAACCTATCACAAACACATAATTATTTTAGTTTTCTGAAGGAGATGCTCTCTGCTTCCTTCTTATTTGCTCTGTTGCAGAGGTCCTTACCTCCTGCGGTAGCAGACACAGCCAGTGTTTCAGCAGTGAAACACAGAACTCAGAGAAAGCACAGCTGGGCTGTGCGCACAGTACAGCCAGGTTTGTCACAGTAGCTTGTATTTTGGTATTACTAACCAGTTTCACCCTTTCATGTAAAGAATAAATGATTAGGTAGAAGGCTTGCTGAATAAAAAATAAGAATTCTATGTTCTGTGCACCACAGATGAAGTTGGGTTTTCCACTTTTTTCCCAAATAACTATGTTATTTGTGCATCCTGTTTTGGTTTTTTTTCCCAAAGGGAAGAGAGGAGGCAAAAACCCCATGTAAATTAGGGAAGCATTGGACAGCTTCTTAATTGTTCTAAACAACTGTTTAAAGAATTGTTTAAACAACTGTTTTGAAGAACTGTTCTAAATGTTCTGAAGTGACATTTTAGAACAGCAGCTTATAAAAGAATATGTGATGTTCTCTCTCATATTTTTGAACGAAGAAGTTGTTTCTCAGAGCATTCTGACTTTACAGGTCATGATTTCTATGCCAGCAGTACAATGACTGGGTGAGCCATTGTTCTGAAAGGACAAGACTAGGAAAATTTTTAACATATGAAGCTTTTGGGTGAAGTGAAAGCATAATAGACATTAAAAATGTGACAATTCAAAAAAAATAATCTTTATATTGCAAAAGATGGGGATGGAGGACTTCCCTATACCTCAATTAATACCTCAATTATTTTTAGTTTTGTAACATCTTTAAAATTATGAGTCTTAGTATAACCACGAGTATTCCCTACTTTACTTCTGAGTGTTTAATTATTAGAAGTCAAACTATTTTCAAAAAAATATATAGATCTGCCTTGCATTGGTATTGCCTCTGTTTAGTAAGACATGTCTGGGAAGAGCTTTTGAGGCATTAAAAATTACTGTCAAGAGATCAGCATTACATGGGGTATATTGTTCCAGTTATGTTCTCCAGATATACAAGTCTTTAGAAATGCCAGCTGAATGTTAAGCCATAGAATTTTGGAAATTACAAAATCCACAGAATATTATCACATTTTGAAAAAGAATAGCCCAAGCCCTCTACCTTATCAGGTTGGATTTGTTGAGAATACTATTCCATGCAGACTTATGTTCATAGAAAACAAAGTCTAGCACTCACTCAGTTTATATTCTGAGAAGTTCAAGAGGAAGTCATTTCAGTGTTTCAGCTGAAAGCTTTTTATTTGTAAAGTCCATGTACTTTTTTATGCCATATGCTGCTTTTGTCCTTAAACTGGAAGTTGTGCAATTTTAAAGTAAAAACTGCCTACTGAAATGAAGGGAAATGTTTATTCTGTCAACTTAAATATAAAATTCTTTATTTAATGTTTCTTTCTCAATACTGGTTTTATTAATTCTTCCTGAGGAAAGTAAGGGAGAGAGGTGAATGGCAATGATTTTGATTATGCTACTTGATAAAACATTGAGTGTTTAATTTGAAATCAGCCGAAGATGTGTTGTTCCTCTTTTGTGAGTGTTTGTTCCTCTTTTGTATATTGTATTTGAACACAGAATGTTTAGTAAATGTCCACAATATTTTTTGAATCATATTTTCTTTCTCTTCACAGTGTGAAATGCCTCCAGAAGACTGTAAAAGATCCTTATCATATTATTTGTCGACCATGTGCTGGTAAACTAGAAATTTGTGCTAAGTGTGGGAAACAAGAAGAAATAGTGATTCCGTAAGTAGCTCATAGAGTACATAGTTTCAGTCCTGTTCTGATAATTCCCCTTGTAATAAGCCTTGTTTGGAAACTGCCAAGAAGCTGTCATAATTTATGCCATATTCTCAATTATCCCAACATGAATCAGTAGGAGTAATTTTCCTCACTTTCTTCAGATGCAACTGGGGCTAAAATGCTTATTGATGTTAGTGAGGCTGAGACAGCAAAAGTCCTACTTGGAAAAGACATTTTAGCACCAATGGGTAAATTGTATTTCTTCTTAACAAAGCACTTCAAAATGGGTTTTTTGTGTAGAGCATCATAAAATATGCACAAGCCGCTTTACTGTTTGCATTTTGTCTGCCACTTGATGATTCAGTTACTAGTGAACAGAAGAACTAAACAAGGACTGATATTAAGCACAGTTACCATGGTACATTTAGCAGGCTTTTGACGTTGTTTACTGGTGCTCTCTATTGAGCATGACACATGAAACATTAATTTAGTAGTTTGTGACAACAATCCAGCAGTTGCTTGCTTGGTCAAGCTGTTCAAATATTTACTTTTCTTTCTTTGCAGTCTCTTCTGTACTAAATACTATTTTATGCATACTTTACTGTATTTTATATCCTTCCTATTTAGTGTGAAGTAACTTTAGGGACTTTTATTGCCCCTCCTCCTTCTTCCCATCTCCTGCCATCTTCCGTCCTACATTGGGATGGAATGCCAGGAGGATATTCTATCCTCCATCCCATTCTTGTTGAAATTCCAGAAGTGGGTGCTGATAATATCCCTCTTGCTTTCTACAGGATTGATAAAGGACAAGACAGAACTGACAATGAGACTTCTAAAGATGGCCAAGAGAGCACTAAATTGAAGGATGAGCTGGATTTTGATACAAATTTCAGTAGTGCAGACAGTGATGAAGATTCTGATGTGCTTGAAGAACAATTTAAAAGTATGAATTTTGAAAAAACAGAGAGCTAAAAGGCTGTGTTTATGCAAGAGTTTATATGCCATCAAATGTGGTAAACCAGTGCTTGTATGATGATGCATGTGGGGATTTGTATTAATACACATTTTTATGTATTAGGAACAGAATTTCTTTGAAAATATTCAGAAAATATTCCATTTTCTATCTGTAAGCATGATTATTTATTTCATACATATAACAACTTCCTATTTTTATGGAATAAAGTCTCTTTGTGTAATTGTTCGAAATTCAGTATTATGTGACCGTCGGAAGTGTTATTGCTACCTGGAAACCTGCCTGAAAGTCTAGACTAAACACAGATAGGAAGAGCTAAAGCAGCTATAGTGGTTTTCTGAAGGAAGAACTTGCAGCATGCTGTCAATGAGTTTCCAAATGGGGTCTTACGCTAGGCCAAAGATTTTGTTCATTTTTTTTCCCCACAAAAAAGAAACAAGCGTATAAATGCCATCACCAGTACAGTTCATGAACAGTTAAAGCTTATTTACCATGTATTAAGTGTGCATTACAGATTTCTGACCTTTTTGCTACCAATATTTTGTAAAGAAGAAACCTGCAGGCTTTAGAATTTCTCATCACACTTTCGTTTCATTTTCAGAATTCAGAGATTCATCTGGATCTGATGTCGTTTTCTCTGATATGAAAAGACTTGCATAATGGAGTGATGCATATAAAGTTACTCCCTTCCCAGTTTCTATTCCAGTGTTGATTAAGCGATACACAGAACTTAACTGAAGTTGCAGTAACTGTCTTTACAGGATTTAGGATGGTTTGATTTCTTTTGTCTTCCTACTCTTTACATTTAACTAACAGTATATATATAAATTAACCTATGACAATATGCTATGCCACATCTGCTTTGCTGCTTTGCCTGATTTGCTGTAGTGAGCATGGAAAAATTTGATTCTCAAACTACATTTTTCAAATGCTCTGTGAGGAAGTTCAGCTCTGAGGTTGTTGCCCATCCCTGCCTTGGAATGAAGGAAATACTGAAACTTGATTCTTTGGGTGCAGATAAGCGCCTGATGTCTGTCCTGTCAAGCTGGAAAACACCAAGAAGTGTTCAGTGGCAGAAAAGGAGTTGTCAGGTGTGTTCAGAAGTGTTGGATCTGAAGGTTATCTGGAGGTTTCACTGACAGATAAGTCCTCCCAACAGCACAGCAATGACATCTGACTAACTTAGTGTCACATCTCTTGTCCTGCCCATTGACGTCAACAATGGCAGAGTAAACAAGGAATATCCCATGCACACACTGCAGATGACCAGGTAGGAGGGTGCATGGAAGGAAGTTAATAAGTAATCTGGATTTAGCTTCAGAAAGTGTGTCTCTGAAGGGAGAACCAAAAGTGAATTTGGCTTTTGAAAGTGCCATACATATGGGAAATGTTCATCCAGTTGGAAAAATTCATAATGGCCTTGTTCTTTGTTAAAGGTGAGAGGAAATCCTGGAATGATAGGAAAGCATGTGATGGAACTGGCAGAAGCTGTATAATGAGAAAATAAGGGGAAGAATTCTTTTCTCATAGTGGTGACAAAACCTGTCAGTACCAGGAGCGAGCAGAGTGACAGAGATAAACAATGTGTTGCAACACAGTGCAAAAATGTTTGTACAATGGGAAAGTCCTGTGAAGGCTTCATGTCACATTCCTGATGCTCTGTTCAGAGCTGGTACTATAGCTGATGAAACTGTGCTGTGGGTGAGCACAGCTGCAGTGTTGGCTGGCTGGTGTTAGTCCAGCCTGTCTGCAGACAGTTTTGGTTCTGGCAAGCCTTCTGTCTTTGGTTGTAGCTGTGGCTGAAGGATATACTGCTGGAAATAATTTTTGCACACCACTTAACATGGTGGTTGTCATGGTGGTGAGTCAGCTTATAAAATGGCAGCTTTGCAAGGGAAAAGGAGTTTGCATTTTACTGAAGATTAGGATATATTTGGAACTGCATTAAACTATTATAACTCATGCTATAAGAGTTCTGGGTATCAGGAGTTTGGTTTTGTCTCTTTTTGAGGAACTTATTGAACAGAGAATAATGTGGGAGTGGGCCCCTTTAAATACTGATCTTCAGTATAATCATATAGAAATGAGAATATTTTTTAAAAGGTGATAAAAAGTCATCAAAGATTTTTTATATCTTTGGGGTAGTCATCTAGATGGAATGATTTTTAGTTTTTAATTGAGATTTTGAAACTTTTCCGCCTATTCTTTCACAAATAATAATGAATTTGTTTCTATAAACATGAGAGGAAATGAAAAATACCACAGTGCCTGCAGGATACTGAGATGCAGTTTAAACAGTGTGATTGGTCGGAGGTTCCAGGATTTGTCTGGACCTTGCAGTGCCTCACCAAGTACATTACTGAAGAAGAAAATGATAGATGTTAATTAGTCATCTGAAGAATACTTGATGCATCACTAGTGATGCAGTGATGTCGCTGACAGCTGAGTTCCTGTTACCAGGTTGCCCTTAGGAGGGTCATTTGCCATGACTCAACACTGAAGTAATTCATGAGGTTGTGGACTGCCGGTATGTGTGAGGTAGGCATGCCAGATGATTCTTACTCCACAAGGGGAAATGCTCATCATAGCTGGAGCTGCCAGAATTCATCATGCTTGACTTGCACACATTTCTGGGAACCAAATTCCTATGTATAAGGATTTCTTGAGACAACCTGGATTTATTGCAGAATGATGAGAATCTGATGTGGACAGAGTGCTACATTCTAGAATAATTCCTTAACAATCTTCTTTGTCAAAGTTCACAGGCATCTCTGAGACATCCTATCATCAAATGTTTTGCAGGATCAGGTAATGCAAAAAACATTGCCCCATGATTTTACTTCCAGTTTTGCATGGGCTGAGCTCTTCTATTCTTGTCTTGGCTACTCGTTAATCTGTATTCCTCCAAAATACTGTAATAATACCAGCCTCTGAAGGTTTATAGAACTACCAGTTAATTAAGAAAAGTACAGCTTGCTTTCTCCCTGTAATGGGCATGTACTTGGATGTGGAGATGTAAATCACAGCATTAGCAAGGAAAATAGAAGAAAATATTGCAGGTCATCAAATGTGAGCCACCTTGTAAACCTCTAGCCCTATAATTATGTATGTTTTCTTTGTTTAGGAGTTCTCATAAGTAAATGTATGCTGGTAGAAAATGCAAAACTAAGTGATTATTGGAAGCATCAGCCTGACTTACAGAGTTAATGAGGAAAGCTTTGTAAGTGGCAGGGAGAGATGCTTTTCTTTATCAGATGTTTAGGGAGCTGCTCACGCAAACTGCCACATTAATTTCTTGCCTACATTTCATCTGAAAACTAATACAATTCAAAACTCTTGGTGAAAAACAATCCATGAACTCTGTATACATACTCATCACATAGAGTGAGTTTGTAAAGTAGATTCCTAAACCTTGAAACTGTTGAAGTGAGATCTTTCTATGGCTTGATAACACATTTGCAGACAAATTATCCGTAACAGACTAGAAATAAAATATTTGGCTTATTTCAAATAGCAAACTTTCCTGCTGGAGCCCCTAAAAATAGTTAAGATGAAGTCACATTAAAATGATCTCTTTTTTTTCTGAAGCCAATAAGAAAACATCTATTTGTAATAATGGGGGTAATACTCATAATTCAGTCATCAATAATAATTTGAGGACATGAAAACAAGAGCCAAAGGCTCCTGCAGGGAGAGATTTTATCTGAAGAATCTCTCCTTGCATTTGCCTCTGTCATAACTTCAGAAACCCAAATTGAAGGGATCAGACATATTCTTATAAGTGCTTTGAAAACAGCACTTAATAGTTTAATAATTGCTTTTAAACTGCATCAGAGAATACCATGTCTTTATACAAAAAACAGAAAAAGGTTTATGCCTGTTACTGAATGACAGCACTCACTTGAAGTCTCTCTTTTAAGGACATCTTGCATTTTTGGGCCTCAAGATAGTAATATCTCTTCTTGCACTTGACTTGCAGTTTCCCTAATTTTATGTGAGCAAATATGACACAGTGTGTCAAAACTATCTGTGAAAAGTATCTATGGGGTAATTTTTCCTATATGTATCAGCAGTGAAACTTGTAACATTTGTTGAGTAATATGTAGTTTTAAAGCTACATGTGTAACAGCTAGATGTTTTTTTCCTCCTGACTATTATGTTTCTTTTAGGGTTATTTAGTATACTTTTCCCAGAGCCGCTGCACCGTGGAAGTTTCTAGCTGCATCAGAGCTGTGCAGCCTCTGACTGTCAGCAACAACTCCAGGTTATTCCCAGTAAGTAGAAGGAACAGAATTGATGCCACAGCTGTAAAACAAACTGGTCTACCTTGTGGGTCCACTTTGGAGATGGACTGTGTGGGCTTCATCAGACACAGGGGGAGATGGTAGATCAGCTTCTCAGAAAGAGCAGCCCTGTAGCACCCACACTACCCAAACCTTGTCATGCAAACCCAATACAAAATACACTTATGAGGTGAATGTGAAGTGAAGTAAAGCCATGGGTCTTGGGGGGAAAAGATTAAAAGGTGCTACAATATTTTTATAGTATTAGAGAAATGCAGAATAATCTCAAAGCTTCCCTATCCAAGGAAAAATAAGACCCATAAAGAAGGCAACTTCTATTCTTTTAAGCAACAACAGATTTACTATTACCTACATGACAAAGATTTTAAAAGTCTCTCTGGAAATGGCTAATATCTCATTCTCCACAGAAAATAACTCTTCAGTAGCAGCTTACTCTTTCTAACAATAAGTTAGTGATGGAACCTTCCAGAATGAAGCAAGGTTGTACCTGCATTACTCAGAGAAAAGTCATAATGCAATTGTTATGTTATAAAACTGATCTTATGCTTTTAAAAGATCACAAGGAATTTGCCTAAAAAATACCTAGAAAGACTGAAGCTGTATTGCTATAATCTTTCCATTTTAGGAAATTGTTGCCTTAAGGATTAAGCCATCCCAAACCTATGCAGGGACCAGAACCTCTGAGCTATGGTTTCCACCGTGGTTCAGCAGGAAGTTTTTCTTTATTTCCTGTTCTTGAGGTGCATTTGCGTATTAGTAATTCTGGCATTATGAACTCTCCCTTCAAGAAACAACTGCATTTTGGGTCACCACACCTAACTAGTTGCTTCTTTCTCATCCTCATCTCATGACTGCACCTAAGGTCTATGGAGACCAAGTACAGGTACTGGCTGGCCATGTTACTTCAAAAAATTGCATTAGCAGCTGACTGCTTGTGAACACCCCTACACCCCCCTCACAAAAGAACCAAAACAAAGCAAAAATACCCCACCAAAGAGTCCTCCCCCAAGTGAAATGAAACTCAAAAATCAAACAAAAAAAATCAAAACAAAAATGAATAAAACAATAATAACAATATCCCCTGTTCCATGCTGGAGCACTTACCCAGGACACTCAGAATGAGTCCTGTTGGGCATTCTTGTCCCTTGCCACTAAAGTGTGCCATTAATGGGAACAGAGTGTGTGGTTCTAAAGGAAGGGTAATGCACATGCTTTAGTCTTTAAATGGAGAGAAGGGCCTCTGTCAAATATCTAACAGTGCCAAGCAGGGTTGTTCAGCCAAGTTTGTCCAAAATGCCATTTAGAGGCAGAGGGTGGAGGGAAGGTGGGAAGAAGGGGAAGAAGGTGTGCCAGGAAGCAACTTGTGAGTATGGAAGTACGGAAGTTCACACAGCCTATACTTGCCTTTAAAAGACTGATTTGGATTAAGAATCCCACTCATAGAACTGAACACTAGACCTTCACAGTGACAAAACACAGTTATCACTACTTTACCTTTGTAATTTGATACACTTTTCAGTGAGTTTTTGTTTGGGTTTTATGTCTGGGTTTTTTTGAGGAGTTCAGGTGTTGTTTTGGTTTTCTTAACATTAAAGCATTTTACCATTCGTGACTCTGTTGAGTATAGATCTTTTCTTCATAGAGCTACTGCTTTAGTAGCTCTGAGTTTTGTTAGTCTGCACCTGGGGAATGTGTTGTGGCTCAACCCGAGCCAGCAGTGAAGCCCCAGCTAGTGCTTACTCACTGCCCCACCTGCAGGACTGGGGAGAGAATCAAAGGGGGAAAGGCTAGAGAACTCTTTCGTGGGCTGAGATACAGGCAGTTTGATGGGAAAGCAAAACTCACACATACAAGCAAAGCCAAGTAAGGAATTAGTTGACTGCTTCTCACAGGCAGGCAGGCGTTCAGCGATCTCCAGAGGGCAGGGCCCCATGACACATGATGGTGACTTGGGAGAAGAACACCATCACTCCAAATGTCCCCCCTTTCTCCTTCTTCCCTCCACTTTATGTACTGAGCATGATGATCTGGAATGTCCCTTTTGTCAGTTTGGGTCACCTGTTCTGGCTCTGTTTTGTCCAATTCTCCCTTGCACTCCTACCATACCATTGTGGCAGCACAAAGAGCAGAAAAGGCCTTGGCTCTGTGTAACTTGTGCTCAGAAATAACAACCATCTCTGTACAATGAACCCTCTGTTCAGCACAGGCCCAAAACAGCCCCACCACAGCCAGAGTAAAGAAAATTAACTCTACCCCAGGTAGATGGTAACTCTACCTGGTTACCCCATCCTGCCTAACCAGGACAGAATGTTGTGCTCCTTCTCAAAGGTAAATTATGTTAGAAGGGAGCTTGATTTACTGACCTTGAGTAAACTATACTAGTAGTTAAGTACGTCTTCCCTAATTGATTTGACATCAAGATAGCCCTGTGGGCTTCATGTTTGACATACTTCAATGAAGAATTGGGTTCGAGTTTTTTATTTATATTTAGAAGACTGCTTTGCTGTCTTGTTGTTCCCAAAGAGAAGGTTCCCAAAACTGTGTGACAGTTGTTGCTTCAGAGTATAATGCATATATAAATCATCTAAAGTAAATGCACGAAGACACAGTGACTCCTTTTTTTTTATTTTTTTCCCCACTTAGTAAATGCGGAAGGAAGAAAGTGGAGCTGAAAAAAACCTTGTGTTTGCAAATTGGAACACTTTTTTGTCAGTGCAAAAATACAAGCTTTGTGTTGCTGCTTTTACCGACGTCCTCACGCTTCTCTCTCGAATAAGCTACCTTGCAACACAAGGTGTCACTATAACAAAGTGAAAAAGTTTGCTCGCAAGTTAGCTTGGCGCTGCTCGGTGGTGCTCCAGGCTGGGCATCTCTGGGAGCCTTGTTTCCATTCCTCTTATCTGTTATCTTACAGGGATGTTATCTCACAGGGATGCGGCCCGCCTCGGTCTGCGCGCTGAGCTGCGACCCAGACCATCCACACTTCCAGCAAGCTTTGAGGGGAGGAGCTCGGGACCAAGGGCAGGCACCTGAGCCGGAAATCCTGCTTTTAATGTGGCGTTTGTTTGTAGGGAAAGCTTAAAAGGTTGTACTTCCCAGCCTGGCAGCCTGGTTAACCCACATGCAGCTGCAGTAGCACAAGTAGGCAAGTGCTGAGTTTCCAAAAGTCAGAGCTGGCGACCTCATACTGTATGTTGGCCTCTTATAATGTGAATATTTAATTAATTAGAACATACGCATGCAAATAAAAATAAAATCCACACCAACCAATCAAACAAGTGAACACTGCATAAACACAATAAATTACACAAATCAAAGGATTACACATAGTAAGATTAAGCTCAGCTCATTAATTTCCCCAGAAATCTTGGAGAACCTGGTGTAGAGTTGTTGAGAGAGAAAGAAACCTAAAAATGAAAACGTACTGCCAGCATGTCACATTTAACCAAAAACTCTCATTTTCCACAGCAGCTTCTCAGGAGCAACCCTGAGTTGCTAGTTGAGAGGACATAAAGGTGTGTGTCAGAACCAACACAATTTTTTATTTTTTCTTTAATTAGGGGGAAAAAAAAAGTGTAGGTAGAAAAGGAAAAGAGTTAGTCTGCCTTCCTGTTAGGAATTCCTTCTCAAAAATCACCTGCTCATTCACCATGGTGGGCTAGCCATAACTGAGACCCAGATGCTCACACAGTTGCTTCTTAGCTTTGTTCTCTGCAGCATGGGAAAAGGTAGAAGAAATCTAAGGAGAGTTGTGAGATAATTACAGCTTGAGACCCAATCCTAATCCCAGTCATAATCCTGAAAGTAAAATATAAAGTAAACAATGGGTGTTGGTGCACTGCAAATCAAAAAGAGAAATATACTTTCCACTTCCAGTTCAGTTGGTACCAGAAGAGCAGGGCTTTGCCATGAGTAACTTCCCATGAGTTATTTGCGGGCTGCTGTAGAAAGTCAGCTCCATGTCAGCCAGACCCAATACATCTGTGTACTGCATGTGCTTTCTGAATTGTTTCAGTGTCACAGCAAACTCAGCTGTGAGCACTAAAACCATAAATTATTGTAAAACATTCAGTGCAGACCTTTGCTGACACACACTGAACAAATTTGTAAGAAG